CACGGGAGAGGCAGGCTCTGTGCTGGAGGATTCGTGCGTGGCCGCCCAGCGGGCCACAGCGGCCGCTTCCGGGTCGGCGCTGCGGTGGGCGAGGCTGTGGGGGCGGGGCTTGCAGGCAGTGGGCTCGGGGGGGGTGTGCGTGGCGCCGAGTCGGCGGTTGCAGGGGGGAGCGGTGCTAGCGGAGACGCAGGTGCAGGCGACGCCGGCAGGAGCTCAAGGCGCGTGATCCAGCGGGCCGGGATCCGACAGCTCACTGGGCGGTAGCGCGTGCGTGCAGAGGCTTTTGCAGTGCATGCCTAGCGGGGGCTCCGGCACGGGCGCCTGGCCTCCGCGTGCCTGCGAGCGCTGTGGGCGCCAGCCGCGCAGCAGTGCAGAGCGAATTTCTTCTTGGACGAAGAGGCTGGCTATGGTATCATCTCGGCTGTACAGGCGTGCAGAGTCGCGGTGGTGGCCGTGGTGCAGGCGGTCGTCTTTGGGCAGGCGCAGCTGTGCGGCCGCGGCGAGCAGGCAGGACTTGAGTCCGTGAAGTCCGAGTTCGCGCGCCTCATGTGCGAGCAGTGCTTGCGGGCAGGCAGTGGCGGGCTCGCTGAGCCATGGCAGGGTACAGCGCAGGACTTGCAGGCTGTGGTGGTAACTGCTGGGGCAGAGTGCGGGCAGGCCGGGCTGATGCATATTTCCCAGGGGGAAGAGGAAGTCTGGGCAGGCAGTCGTGTGAAGGCTAGCGGCTTCGCTGAGCGCGCGCAGCCAGGCGAGGACCCAGCAGCGGGCGGGCGAGTCGCCGGCGAAACCGCAAAGGTGCACTGCGAAAGGCTGGCCATGCGAGCTGGTCTTGGTCTTGTAGCAGGTTCCGTGCAGGCGTGTAGGAGTCAGGCCGAGGGAGCTCCACTCGACGCGTTGGGCGTCCCCCCAGCGCAGGCTGGCGTGGATGCAGAGCAGAGCGGCGCCCAGCCAGAGGCGCAGGGCGAGCGGCACGGCGGGCTGCACTATGTGGCGCTCCCAGGCGATCACGACGGCCATGGGCAGTGGGTAGGCTTCACGCCGATCGCGCGCATGCTCGCGTATGGCATAGCTGGCTATGAGTGGATTTTGCAGGGCATGATGCAGGCTGGCGATTTGTGCCGTGCGCGCAAACCATCGGAGGGACTTGATTGCAGTAGTCGGGGGCATGCGGTGGCAGGCGCGATCCTCGTTGTGGGAACCGCGGGCAGCGTGCAGGAAGTCAGCTATGCAGGGCCAAGCAATCTCGGCCAGCGAGCAGGCAAAGGTGACCAACCAGTCCAGGAAGTTGGCCACGCTTCGGAGATATTTGGTAAGGGTCGTGTGCGCAAGCGATAGAAGCAACTGGTGAAGATGCTGCTGGCGGGCGGGGTTGTCTTTGATGCCCTTCCACAAATCGCTGGCATCGGCGGCCACTTGGAGAAGGTCCAGGAAGAGCTTGTCGCAGGCGAGGCGGCGGGCATCAGACAGGGCCCGCGTGGTGATTGTGGTGCCGAGTGCGGGCATGCGTGGCATTGGGCTGCGCAGCTTGGCTGCAAAGTGCTTATCGCGAGGCATTGCTGGCTGCGCCACGGGCGGAGCGGGTGGGGGCGGGCAGGCCGACTGCGCGGGCGCGCCGGGACGCAAGGATGCGCGAGAGAGACTACGAGGCGCAGGCCGCGGCGGCGGGGCAGGCATGCCTCCGATGCAGGGCGGCTGCGCCGCAAGCAGAACAGTAGGATAGCGAGGCTGCGGTTGCAGGCCGGGTGCAGGAGAAGGAGCCCGGAAACGGCGGGCGAGTTCGGGCGGGCAAGGCTGTGTTGCAGGCTTGGCGTGCGGCCAGTGCGGGTCATGCTTGCAGAGGTTGGCGACGCTGTATGGGGCACGGCTCTTAGGGCGGGCTGTGAGGCTTAGGGGTGGCGGCGGTGCGGCAGGCTTAGAGTGCAGGGACTTAGGGCGGGCGTTAGGGGGGGAAGGGCGGTGCACGGCTCGCAAAGGAGAGCGTGATCTGTTGCGGGCAGCCGGGCCATCGGGGCCGCACGGCGGTGGTGTGCACGGGCTGTGGAGCCAGCTTGCTGGCGAGGGCGGGGAATGACCCCGAGCAGGTGCAGGCGGTTGCACAGGCAGAGGCACCATTGTCGGTGATGGGGGCGGGCTTCTCGCGGCAGGCGAGGAATGCACACGGGTTGGGGATTGGCTTGGGGAGCGTGCGGCAGAAGGCTCAGCAGGGGAAGTTGCAGGCGATTTCGGTGCAGGTGCGGGCGAAGTGGGCCCCGCGGGCAGTGAGGACACCACGGCGAAAGAAGCCGCCGACGTTGCAGGAGATATGGATGCTTGCTGATCGGGAAACTGTGCAGGCAAAGGAGGGCGTGCTAGCTGAGGCTCGGGCAGACCTGAAGAGGGCGAGTCGGGCGCGGGCCCGGCCGCGTGCACGCAGGCAGAAAGTGCTGTGTCTTCATAGGCGGCTGTGCTGGGCAGGCTGGCTGGGGCTTCGGGTGCAGGGCGCCTGTAGCGGCGGGCGATGCAAACGGAACCCAACCTGGAAGATGAAGGCGTGCTGGCGTCCTCGAGCTCGGCCGTGTCGCTGTCACCTGGCAGGAGCGCAGAGCAAAAGAGGTGAGGCAGGCATGCAGGCTGAAAAGAAGGCATGAAAGAAGAAGCACATGCGGGCTCTTTTGCGGGCTTGTGCTGGCGGTGCGGTGGCATGCAGGCGTGCATGCGGGCAGTCAGCGTCCTGACTTGCAGTGCGAGCAAAGGTGGGTCTTGTGCCCCTCAAGGCCCAGCTGCGTGCCCTTACGGAAAGGTTTATCGCAGGCGCGGCCGCCGAGCGGGCAGGCTGGATTGTCACAGCGGGCAGCGCATAAGATCTTCCGCGAGGCGTCGATGTAAAACGGACGCCCCGCGGTCGACCAAAAAACTTGCTGCGGGCAGAGAGGGGATTCCTCAAGGCAGGCGCAAGGCGGGCGCTGCTCACTAAACTCGCAGGCGGGCACGTCAATGTCTATGACCCAATCTGCTTGCGCGCCCTTGCCGCTGGCTGGCTGCGGGCCTTTGCCCTTGCCGGCGGGCGTTGCATGCGGGAAGCTGGAGGGCGGGCGGATCTGGGCGGGGCTGGGTGCATAGCCGCGGGCGGGCGGGGGGCCGTAGAGATGCTCCAGGGGCGTGTCGGCCCCCGGTTGCTGGCGGGGCCTGCGCTTGACCTCGGGCACCGGCGGCGGTGGCACGGTGGAGGAGGATGCGGGCTGGCTGGGTGCGGGCTGGCTGCTCTGGGCAGGCTGTGCTGGGGGCTGTGCAGGCTGGC